TTCATAATGAGACAACACGTAAAATTATAGTTTTGCACATTTTAATCTTTTATCTTTTAGACGTGACAAAGGAACAGAATAGCAACGGGAATTGATCGAATCAAATGAACTTGAATTTATTTCCCGAACCTATTCTGTAGCCTTCACCATTCGACATACTACCTCCATCTTCAACCCTGAAGATGGAGGCAGTATTTTCCTCCGAAACGTTGGCTTCTACCGATGAGTGTACATGGCGCCAAAACCGAGTCGAATATCATAATCGGGTTCGCGCAATGTTTCTGTGTCTCACACCCTGACAATAAGCTGTCAGTATTTTACTGTCACGAGCAAGTACAACGAATGTGAGGATAAAATAAGGAAGGAATGTGAATACGGCAAATCTTTCTTCACTTTCACGGTGCCATATGAAAGGGGCTTAGCGGGAGTTACGATTACTGTGATAATTATCACGGGTGAAGAAGCCGACGAGATGGTCTCGCCGCGGGACGTCCCGTCATCGCCCGGTCTTCGTTCGTCTTGAAAGAGTCCGTCCGTCCGTTACTACTCGCCTTGGCTGAATGAATGGTCCTCCAACCCCACGTACGCGGGCAATAATGATAACTACGGCTGATTCAGTTAACTCTTCAAATTCCTGTAGAGTGGAAAATAATTCAAGTATTCGCCAAACGTGCCCTACAAAAAGAACGGAGTCTTTAAGGCAGTAATGAACGCACACTGATAGATTTTTGCTTCTTACGTTTACTTCCGTGTAAATTGAAAACTAGCCTGGTCTGAGGGGTAGGTCTTGACTTTTTAAATTCTAGGGTTGTGGGTTTGAATTCGATTCGAGGTTTGGGTGTTTGTCCTGTGTAGGTAGAGGAATTTTGCGAACGTTCTCGTAAGGGGCGGAAATAATTTGAAATAGAAAATGTAATTGACATTTTTTTGCAGATTCGCCCCCGTTTCCGAGTTCCGATGTTTTTTTTACGTTGGTGTCGGTTTTATTATTCTGATTGTCGATTTTTACAAAATTGGAAACAGTTCATTTAGAAACTCATCAATCGATTTCCTTTTTTGCAATGAAAGAAAAACTGAAATAAATTCTGCCTTTTGTAGCATTTGCAATGAGTTCTGCTTTTCGAGTTGTTTTCTGTTCGTGTGGCGGGCACTTTTTAGCCTCGTTACCGGTGCCTACTCTACTGAGTCTGAGTATAATAACTGCGCCTCAACTCACGATCACGATAATACAAGTTTATATCAACTTAAAGCAGTCGTCACTCATAAATCTGGAAAAAAAACGTAATATACCTTTTCTGCTCCAAATAATCTCGCCCAATGTCCTTAATTGTTGTACTAGAACTTTGGATCACCCTGTATGTGTTCGATGATATTGATTTAGATTGTTATTGGTAAAGAAGCGAACAGTTTGGCCTAAATAGTTAAATTATCTGATGAACCTCAATGAAACTAATTCACTTCTGGTGTGTTTGAAATGTCACTAGATGGTCCATCATTTCCCCTACTTCGACGCCGATTGGCGCCTGCTGTACTCAGATGATGCTGCCCCATTACTCGTCACCCCATGCACACGAAATTACGTGACGAACCTAATTGGTGGAACAATTACGAAGACAAACTCCCTGCGTTGTTAATTATTACTTGTAGAAACTTGATTCATAACAGTGCATTCGAAAATTGTTGATGATGGTGAAGTTTTACGTTCTTTTTGCCAAGCTGCGTGCATGTATGTCCTATGTATTATATGGAAAGACTGAGTCTGCTGTTAGCTTCTCAAGAATTATTTTGTTCCGTCGTGTTAGTAAGTCGCTTTGACGGTGTCTCCACCCCAATATTCCGCCTCTTCTTATTTCCCCTTTTCTGAAAGCGGCGTCAATTCTCCGTTGGATATTTTCTTCGCTTTGATTTCAACTGAATGCGTTCTTGTGGGCTAGGACCCGCGGATAGTCAATATTTATGGAACAGAAGCGACACCTCGCCTGCCATTTGTCAGACGTAAACTTCGCCGTGTGAAATATACAAGGGAAATTCTTAGGATATCGAGGTCGTCGTGGCAGAATGACGCGTGTTATCAAGGTGGCTGATTTACAGAAGACAAAATTCCTACGTTTATTTTGGTTCACAAATGTTTATTATTAGTGAGGTTTTATTTTCTCACGGCTGCGAGTACAAAGGTGGCTGTCTTCTAGGTTTCTGCGCCTTGTAATCTGGTAGAAGTATACCGACGTTTCAGGGGTCCTTGCTGCCTCCATCATCAGGGCGACCGTCTCTGAAACGTCGATAAACTTATACCAGACTTGACTATACTGTGTAATAACCCAAAAGACAGCCATCTTCGTGCATTTTGGTGTTTATACGCCGAAATATATTATTTATCTGTATCTGTGTGTAGACTTTCGTCAGCATTACGCCCTAATTGCGTGACAGTCCTTTATTTTAAGTTGTTGGACCAAGTACCGTCCGGCCGCAGTGGTAGAGCTCTCGGACACTGGGCTAGTGGGTTCGAATCTTGCTCGAGACATCGTAGTTCGTGTGTCTTCCTGCGTTGCTGCTACCTTTTTAGGTAGAGGCCTTGCGATGGGCTGGTCGCCCGTCCAAGGAGTCCTACCGAATGTTTAAATAGCTTCAGAAACTTGCCATTTGTGAGGCGGCTAAGGACCTTTAAGGGCTGTACTGGCACAGAGTTAATAAGTAAGACCAGATATTTCCGCTCTAGCTTGATGCCGTCGAGGGAGTTTTACATTAAAGTGGGTAAATTTTCGCAAAGAAACAGAGTAATACGATTCAGAAATCTTGTTCTTTTTGCTTTTTCTCCGCACAGATCTTTGTGTTGCTGTAAGCAACGGAATGCTGGTCCCCACCCCATACTTTTAATTAATTCCGTGGGACTTACCTGCGTGTGCTTTGCATACGCGTTGAGCAATTACCAGCCCAATCGGCTGATGGTCCCGTTGTACGTTCGTACTACATTACCATGAACTGGCTGAAGCCGGAGAGCTCTCGAGGACGGTCCTTGTAGCTTACTCCAACTCATTATCTTTCTCGTTAGCTTCGTTGTCTGGAACGAACGCCATCGTGAATTCGCTTACCAGAATGACCGGCGTTGCATTATGAGAAATCACGGAGCACTGGCTTAAGTGTCTTGATGGAAATAAATTGTTTTGGTAAGTTTTAAGGAGACGTGTTGTCTGTGTAATATTTATGGGCCACTCATGTTATGCAAAGAAGACGAATTTTTTTAATTTGGAAAGTTGTAAAATGCTTCATTTACATTCGACCGAGCGTGGCAACGTAGTGTTTAACACACCTGCTACTTATTTTAGAGGTTCCGGCTTCGTATCTTGGCTCGTAGACTGACTATTCTAGTTTAAATCTTTCGTAGTTATTCTCAGTCAGTGCTGTCGTTTACAGTTAAAAAATCAAAATTGTCCGTTTACTTGACGTTATATGATTTATACAACTGATTAAGCGCTTTTGAATAACCATTAAGTTTTGCCAGTTGCACGGTGTCCAGATGGTAATATGACAAGACGTCGTCGTCAAGAACATTTTGTGTTCAGCTGAAAAAGCGTCCTTTTTTTAAGCATCCCAAATGAGAGACGTATTTGTGTTGCAAGTGGAGTCGAGCAGACGATGGCTCCAAACGGCCCTCAGTTTGTTAGTTAATATCTTGGTACGGAATCTGCAGATATCCTTCGTCACTTGGCTTCCCGCACGCACGTAGTCGTGCCTGCCTTCGCAGAGTGCTCTAAGCCCCGCGGTAAACAACGGACTAAACGTTGCACTCCCTCACTCACTCATACTTACAGTTAGTTCATTATTGAGAATTGGATCCCGCGAATGGAGAGCACCCGACTGACTTCGACTGTTTGTTCTAGGATCAGCGAGATGCCTCACAGTCCCGTGGGAACTCTGCCTGCTCTGTCGTATCCTGAATAAACTCTTGTGACGTCATCCTACTCAGTTGTGAAAAAGAAAATTCTTTTCCAAGATTTTTCGCCGTAAATTACTGTGTCGCCTGCTGTTGCGAAATCCCCCCCACCTTGTTTCTTTAATATCCATTTTAATATTATCCTCCGAACTCTTTCCTTCGGGTTTTTCAAATGGAATTTTTGTCTGAGTTTCTCATCTTCGTGTGTCTTACGTCCATTTGGCCCCATTTTATTTGTGCGTGGATATGTAAAGCTGCTCACACGTGTGTTTAATTTGTAAAGACGGATGATTAGATTCGTGGATCTGCCCTTTTAACGAAATATTTAAAGAATTATTGTAGAACTTCGTTATTGTTGTGTCTTTGAAGATGACTGCCTTCTGGGTCCCCGGGCTTTGTAGCCTGGTGAAAGAAAACCAACGTTTCGGAGGCCGTACAGTCCCGGAGAACCGTATCGTTTAATCAATGGTGCTTATTGCCTCCATCTTCTTCAGAGACACAAAAACAATACACTGACGCTTTGCGCCACTGCGATGGAACACAGCGTCAATTATATGTCAGATAATGGGGAATTTTCGATAACGGTGATTCTGAAATAAAACTTCAGTGGCCTATTTTAATGCGTTGTCTCGGCGTTTTCCTGGGGAGACTGAGGAAATGTCGAAAATTTTCTGGCTCCAGGCCAAGAACATATAACCTGGAGCCTCCAGAATACGAAGCAGATACCAACATCTTCGAACTTTTCGTCCCTAAGGTTACACGTTACAACAGTACGGGCCTATATCAGTCTGGGAGTAAAATGGCGACGTTTTTGCTCGATGTTTGGTCCACAGAATCTTTGACCACTGTTCAGCCGTGCTTTCGACGCGAAATTTCAGTCAGGGTAGACGGGCTACGGGCCGAGATTTGAACCTGGGACATCCCGAATACGAGGTAACGTGTTCATTACTATGCCTCGACGTTCGATGAGGAAGTTCAGAAACAGAATTTCAATGTGTTGAGTGTATTTAAATGTGAAAAAATGATTTGGTGGGCCCAGTTATGAAGAATCGTGTGTTTCGTGTTGCAGATTATAGGGGCAACACCGGAAGCAGACAACAGCAGAGGCCCAACACTTGGCAGGATTCCGGTTACTCTTATAACTCCGGTTACAACTCCGGTCGGTGAGTACACCTCTGTGGTTTGGTATGCGCACTTCATACGTACATACTCCCTGTGAACTATCTGCTGTTTTTATTGTTACCAGAGTAACGTAATAATTAGCCTCGCGAAGTTAATTTACGTGAGCCCAGTTTCTCCTAACTGTGTCTAAAGATCAGTCGCAGCTTATTCGGTCAAATGACCGCAGGATTGGGGCACCGGAGTTCAATTCCCGGCTGAAGCAAGGATGATTCTCTTTGTACCACCTTCTGCGGGGCCCTCTCACCCTCCACTGCAATGCGTACTGGGGATATATTGGCCGGAGCGTGAAGCCGACCAGTAAACGTCATCCAACGCCGACATTGAAACGCGTGAACGTCAATCTCCACGTCCCCATACGCCCTCGATCTGGTATTAAATACGATAGCTCGTCTTTGGTGCAAACCTTCAGTGTCGAATCCGTCTTTACGACGCACTCATTCGGCACAAATGGATTACAACTGAACTGCACTCGCAGAATGCCACTGACCTTGAGTTATAGTACGACCAGGTCTCAGGAGTGTTGCCAATCAAACAACTAAAACATCCCAGTGTTACCTTTATTCGTTGAATTTCTCTCGTGTGTTCTTAACATTAACGAAGAAACTTTTGTCAGCTACGCCCTGAACTCCATGTTTTTGTATGTTGTGTTGTTGGGATGTGAATATTATTTTACAAGGACTCCCCCCCCCCTTATTGTTTATATTTTACGTGTCAAATAACTTCCCGGTTGTATTAAGTACATTTGCCGGTCTTCAGGCGCACCGGGTAGCGTTGTATCAAAAATCTGGGCAGAGGGTTTATAGCGTCATTGTATTTTCATGGGCGGTAGACCCATAAATGTAAACAGCTAGACTGGTGTTGTTTTTTACTGTCGGATCTGCATAGACATTATTTTGACGATGAAAAGTGTAGACTGCACAGAATATGTTTTGGAACTTCGTGTCCCGTATGCACACGCGTAGCAGGCAGCCTACTGTAGGAGACAGAAACATGATTGATGGGATGTTTTGTTGGCGAACTCTTGGGGGGAGGGGGTTCAAAACTCACGTATCCTGCTTGAATGAAATGATCCATCAAATTTAAAACAACGGTCAAGTCAACGAGAAGTGTGCCTGATGCAATGGAGTGTTGACGTGCGTGTGTATTGTAAAGCTGACCGACATGGTTGTCGTTCGTTATGGCAGTAGCAGCCTAATGCTGGCCGCTGACATGCCCACCAACCACTTTGTCAGTGCAGCCAACTGCTGACACTGTCGCCGCTCGTAAGATACGCAGATCCGTGCCTGAGTACACACACGCGTTCTTTGCAAATTCCGAAATATTATTTTACTTTGACAAATCTTGTTTCCAGTTGCACAAATCACGTGGTCTTCATATCCTGTTCATGTAATTTAAATCAATATCATTAATTGTGATCGTTTACTGGACTTGTGTCCATGGGGTTACAGGATCGAGTTCTGATGAAGTTAAAACTTTCCTTTCATGCAGCCGCCATGTTGTTATTTTACATTACACAAACAATTAATTTACCGAAAGCTTGTCTTTTCGAAAATTTACAACCACAAGTGGCGGCAATGTTGATCCCACCTTCCACATTTTTTATGTGCATGCTACATGCCCCGACCATCGGCTATCATCTGGACTGGTTTCGTCTGGCTCAGGAGAACGGTTGAATATGATAATGAACCATCTGATGCACGAACCAAGAGACTTACCTTCTCAGTAATAAGTGTTCTGTATGGATTTATTTACTTATAATGCATCTTTCGAGATCCGTAGACGCGTAGAGCCTGCATCCATTTGAAGCCGTAAATCTTTTTCAGAAACACGTAAAACGCGATCTCACAGAGAAATATATTATTGAATTTGTTTGCCTCGTACGTATATGTAAAATACAGATGTGAAATTACATTTGAAAATAAACCCAAATTGCCGTCAGTAGAAGTAATTAAACAAATATAATTTTGCTGTGTTTACATTTGAACCGCTGTTGTAATTTTCCCTAGCGATTCGTAGTCTTCCAATCAATTTCAACTAGCTTGCCATTTTAATGGAAGTAAGAACATGGTATAAATAGCCTTACCCCATGCAATGTGTGCGCTCTCCCCCTCCTCGGCAAACGCGCGATGAGTTAGTCTATATTGTATTGTTATCGCAGTCAGGTAGTAACATGGAAATGGAATTTGCTTAATTTGCATCAAATGGCCGGGGAATTGATGCTCTGTTTAGATAGGTAGCTGCAATACCAGACGAGTCGCAGGGTAAATTGAATTGTGCGATGCGGGTAACATCGGTGGCCACGCGGCAAAGCGGAGGGTAGCGAGCTAGAACGAGCTGCCTGCTTGTGCCCAATCTAATTTCGCTTGTTTGCTGTAACTAACTGTATTTTGCTGCCAGTCCGATACATCAGGTTCGTGCTCGCCGCT